AAACGAGGGGCGCATACTAATTTTACAATTATCTTCACCTATTGAACTATTATTATCCATTGCATGCCCCCACGTTTTTCGTTTTAAATCTTACAAGTATTTATTCTCTCCACATATTTATAAATTATTTTTACTTTTTAGTGCGTTTAAAAAAGTGGTATTTTTTAAAATTATTTTTATTTATAATTATTTTATACTTTTAGTCTTTAATGTGTAAATATGTTAAATCTATTTTACATGGCCTGTTAATACATAACAAAACACTTATCTGTAATCATATGTTTTATCTACCTTTGAGCTGCTTATTTTATATTTAGAATCTCTCGGGAGCAGAACCTGTTCCTCTTAACCTCTGCACTTCGAACTGTCAAATTTGAGTATTTACAGCTGACTTCAATTGATATATTAGGGCTACATTCTTCCAAAATTTAAACATGAAAAATTTGGAAGCCCATGGGGCTTAGCCCAAGGGAAATATGAAAATTAAATGATATAATATTGCATTGTCATCCATTTGTGAGCTATTTTTAAAGGTTCAATTCTCTAGCTCGTCGGGAAGTTAGTTATTGATTGCAAAGTTTGTACCGGACAAGAAAGTGAGCTAATAGAAACGTTTCAAAATTAGCTGGTGTCATGGCACTTATACAGTAGCACCAATTCACTTGAAAGTCAGCAAACTAATGAACAGAATCGCTCTAGAACAATCGCTTCAGGGACAATGACATGGTTAGCTACTATCGCTGAGCTACTATCGCTGAGCTACTGTCGCTCAGCTACTATCGCAAGAGTCGCTTCAGGGACAATGCACCTTTAGTTTGTGGCTTGAAAAATAAATTTTAACTAGTCTGTATATCATTTTAAACAAGTCATATATTTTATTTCATATGCTGATAAAAACAACAAAAAGAAAATAGTTTGTAGAGTAAAGAATTATTTTGTAGTTATGATTGATAGTTTGGTAATGTAACATTATTATTATTATTATTACACATAAGCTTTAAATCACTTTCGTCCACTTTTAGTATCCTCAATAAATGCAATTTTATAAAATAGATAATAGGTTTTTACCTAAAAAAAATTTTTATTGACAGTACATATTAATAAGTTACCTTCTAGTTCGCCCAGCTCCAAATCTTCATAAATAGTAGAGAGCCGCTCCACCCATCGTGCTAAACAATGAAGTCATTGACAGTACAGTATATTAATAAGTTACCTTTTGGTTCGCCCAACTCCAAATCTTCAGAAATAGTAGAGAGCCTCTCCACCCTTCGTGTTAAACAATGAAGTCATTGACAGTACAGTATATTAATAAGTTACCTTCTGGTTCGCCGAACTCCAAATCTTCATAAATAGTAGAGAGCCGCTCCACCCATCGTGCTATACAATGAAGTCATTGACAGTGCAGTGTATTAATAAGTTACCTTCTGGTTCGCCGAACTCCAAATCTTCATAAATAGTAGAGAGCCGCTCCACCCATCTTACTAAACAATGAAGTCATTGACAGTACAGTATATTAATAAGTTACCTTCTGGTTCGCCCAACTCCAACTCTTCATAAATAGCAGAGAGCCGCTCCACCCATCGTGCTAAACAATGAAGTCATTGACAGTACAGTATATTAATAAGTTACCTTCTGGTTCGCCGAACTCCAACTCTTCATAAATAGTAGAGAGCCGCTCCACCCATCGTGCTAAACAATGAAGTCATTGACAGTACAGTATATTAATAAGTTACCTTCTGGTTCGCCCAACTCCAAATCTTCATAAATAGTAGAGAGCCGCTCCACCCATCGTTCTAAACAATGAAGTCATTGACAGTACAGTATATTAATAAGTTACCTTCTGGTTCGCCCAACTCCAAATCTTCATAAATAGTAGAAAGCCGCTCCACCCATCGTGCTAAACAATGAAGTCATTGACAGTACAGTATATTAATAAGTTACCTTCTGGTTCGCCGAACTCCAAATCTTCATAAATAGTGTACACACCCAATTTACATAATTGCCCCAATTACCCAATTTGCGTAATGCAGCAGGTGTATACAAGTAAGTAGTTAGGCACTACAGTACCCCCTTGACAGTGGTTGAGCTGTGTAGCTAAACAAACACGAAAAAAAATCAACTCTGGAACCGTACTGGAAAATGAACTTGCCTCCCAGAGCGCGTAGTTAATGGTGTAGATCTCAGAATAGGTTTAGATGTCAAGGTACCTCGTTGTTGAATGTCAGAATGAGAAAAGTGAGGAGTGGAAGTAATGGTGTCTCTGGAAACGCTGGTATCATCATGATCGAGTTGTAAGGAATAGACTGGCTTAAGTCGATCAATCGAAATGGTTACATCATTGTCTCGCATCCGAATAACTGCAGTCTTGTCAGATCTTCTAATGACGAGGTAAGGACCTGAGTAGGGGGGATCGAGTGCACCCTTAGAAATGTCGGTAAGTACGAAGACATGAGTGCATGTGTTGAGATGCTTGAACATGAATGGCGTCCTACCTCCATGTCTTGTGGAAATTTGGACGTCTCATGTCTTCTTTGATTCCTGCTATTTCTTGTTGAAATTTGTCTGTTATTTCTCTAATATTTGATGTCAACGTGATTGTAAAGCGTTCCATCATTTCTTCCATCGAGGGAGCTGATAAGGACGCCTCCGATACTTGATGGTGAGGACTGACTTCATGGACAGCATCCGCAAGCTCCGCCAGTGTATCGAGGTCTGCAGCCTTTTGTGTTACCAAGATGGCTTGTGTTGCTGAAGGAAGACGGCTAAGCCATTGAAACCTCAGTAGTGGATCAGGTATCAGGGTTCCGGCTAGGGTACGCATGTGCCTCAGGAACTGTGATGGTGTCCGATCACCTAACTCTTCTCGTTCCAAAAGTTGTTTCGTCTTCTGTTCCTGGGTCAAGGTAAACCGTTTTATAAGTTCTTTTTTAACTTGATGTACTTTTCTTCTGCTGGAGGGTTGGTGAGGATATCCCTCACTTCCGCTGCGTATTTCGCATCTAGGTTACCGCAGACGTAATAGAACTTAGTCTCGTCGACTGTGATCCCCGCTAGAGAAAACTGAGTTTCAATTTGAGCAAACCACAATTCTGGATCTGAGTGCCAGAAAGGAGGGATCTTGACTTGAATTCTGTCTACTGATTGTTCTCCGTTTGACATTTCGAATCACGTCGGGGTCACCAAATGAAGTTGTAAATTCACAAATGCTAGATAAGAGTAAAAATATGTATATTTAGTAAAAAGATAAAGTGAACAATAATAATTGAATGAATTAGTAAACAAAAAAAATCATCTGTTAAATAAAGATTTATATACAGGTAAGTAGTTAGGCACTACACATACCTACATGGGTTATAAGTCACATGTAATACAATTATTCCATTTATTGAATAAACTTTCCATACATATGTGTTAAATAGTTTATTTACTTTTATTTTTGCGAAATCCCTTACATACATAATACCAAGATACATCATAGCCATTAACATCTTCCATTTTTTGAAAGAACCGTTGGGTCAATAAGAGCTAGCTGGAGCTCAAATGGCTCACAAAACCGAACAGGAGTCAGCAGCGGATGGCGGTCGCCGAAATGGCAGACGCACATGCCACGAAGGTGCTGGGACTCCAGCATCTGAGAGTCGGCTGGGTCAACTGGAGGCTCAGACGGAGAGTGGAAGTGAAGAGGTGTTTTAAATGTCTCTGTTTCGGCCATTCCTTCCGAAACTGCAAGGGACCCGACCGAAGCAAGAACTGCCTTCGGTGCGGAGAGGTTGGTCACGTCCGTAAGGACTGCCAAGTCGAGTCCTGTTTCCTTTGCAAATAAAATGGGCTTTCTGACAAACACTTGAAGCATATAGCTGGGTCTAGACAGTGTAGTGTATTCAAATCTGCACTACAGCAAGCGAAAGTCTTTTCACGAAGATAAGAATCCTTCAGTGCAATCTTGAGCGATCCAGGTCGGCTGACGCACTTCTATGTCAGCTTGCCCTGGAACGCGATGTCCACGCGCTCTTAGTCAGCGAACAGTACCAGTACCGTGATAGGGACGCATCTTTTTGGTTCCCTGATAGTCTTGGTACTGCTGCATTCTGGGCGCGTAATGCAGCGAACCCACATAGCAAAATTTGGTTGTTTGTTGGCTGAATTGACCCTCAATTTTCAAGACACCAACCTTGAATTAAGGAATAATATTCAAGACATCAAGGCGAAATCAGGCCTGATTCAAGCATCCAAGTCAACACAGGTTTGGGTTGAAACAGCCTTGAATTTTATTGCCTGTTCCAAGCTCAAAACCAAGCAGATTTCAAGGGAAATCTCAAGTTTCAAGGCGAAATCAAGGTCAATTATTGACTGAACCAAGGATGATTTTTTTTACTTTGAATTTTATTGCCTGTTTCAAGCTAAAAACAAAGCAGATTTCAAGGGGAATCTCAAGTTTCAAGGCAAAATCGAGGTAAATTATTGACTGAACCAAGGATGATTTTTTTAAATTTTGAACTTTATTGGAAAAATTAATCAAAATTTACTTGGTTACATGTCTTAAAAATTAGTTTACATTTTTCACCTAATTTTCATGATATGTAACTTAAGTAATTTTATTAGGTAAATGAAGTTTTTTTATCAACCACCGTTTGATAACTTATTTCATTTTTACACTGAAAATTATTTCACTTTACTGGCTATATATCATTTCTTTTTGATTAAATAAAAAGTATTTTCTGCCCAATGATATATTTTTTGACTTTGCATCTTAAAATTGGCACTCAGCATGTTATAAAATATAATTTTATCTATAATAAAAAATATATTTAATCCATAAAACTGTTAAATAATTAGAACATAACAAAAATTGTATAACCATTTTTACACTTTTACTTTACTTTCATCTTTTGGAACTAAGTAAATTACAGAGAAGTGTGCTGGTAAGAATTAAAACAAAATTAACTGTTCTTGATATATATAATGTTTATTAGAAAATTATTATAAGAAATATAAAATAATAGAGTTAATAAGGTATATACAGCGGCCAACCTAATCCAAGTTCTGGTCCAGAGCTGGGGCTACTTCTTTATTCCTGAAACAAGCATTTCAATCTTCATACTGAACGGAGCAGCGTAAAATTTCTTTCCAAGCTTATTCTTGAGCTACTCTTTAAGAGAACTTGTAGTAAGGGCATTTTCCATGCTATGTTCTAATTAAAAAAAAAAACTCAAATTTTAAGAATAAAAGAAAGGTGAAAACTCAAAATTCTTAAATAGCAAGGTATAAAAAATGTCATACTACGTGAAAGGTCCTTCTTTAACAAACATTTTACATATTTAAGTTTTCTTTCTATCTTTTACCGTTTAAAAATTGCAGTAGTACGTAAGTCTCATGATCACCGGCCTTACATGACTAAATTCACCAAATATGTTTCTAGGTTACTTACCTTATTTCTGCTGTAGTAGCTGTTACACTTGGAACAGATCGGCTGATCGTCCGATCCAAATTTTCTTTTGATGTCCACTTCTTCATTGCAAATGAAACAAATCACAGGCATATTATCTTCACCCTGTGAAACAGAAGTGATGTACAGATTATTCACTGTAAACAATTTAGTTATACATTACGGTCAAAAGACATAAGAGGCTTTAACATTAACTGGCTTAAATTGCCTCTTAAAATTTCTATGTAATATCATATCATAGATAAAACATACTCCCTTTTAAGTCCCTTAGTAGATTTCTCATCCTTATGGAACAGCTGAAGACAATTAGTTCTGTATGGTTTATGTAGAGGTCGTGTTTTGTTTACAAGCTGTGGGCAGTTTGCTATATTTAACTTGAACTTTATTGCTTCTGAATTGTACACCTGTGAATTCACGAGTAGAACCTCTTTTATTTCAGTAAAAGTGTTACCTTCGTTTCTGACAAGTGTATTGACTTCTTGCTGGAGCATCTCTTCACGCAGAATTCTATTTTGTTCTGTAAGCCCCGCCACCTGTCAAATGAAATTACATGCTTTACATCTGAACATACAAGGTATCAATTGATTGTGTTTTCACCGAGTGATTGCTTCATGATTGACGCTCAGATAGATAATCCTTGCAAATACTTCATTTATTGATTTGCTAATATAAAAAAAACAGCTATTACTGGGGCATTTAAATATTTGGCTAGTTACGTCTTCTCTTCACGCAGTATTCTATTTTCCTCTTTAAGCCCCGCCACCTGTCAAATGAAATTACATGCTTTACATCTGAACATACAAGGTATCAATTGACTGTGTTTTCACCGAGTGATTGCTTCATGATTGACGCTCAGATAGATAATCCTTGCAAATACTTCATTTATTGATTTGCTAATATAAAAAAAACAGCTATTACTGGGGCATTTAAATATTTGGCTAGTTACGTCTTCTCTTCACGCAGTATTCTATTTTCCTCTTTAAGCCCCGCCACCTGTCAAATGAAATTACATGCTTTACATCTGAACATACAAGGTATCAATTGATTGTGTTTTCACCGAGTGATTGCTTCATGATTGACGCTCAGATAGATAATCCTTGCAAATACTTCATTTATTGATTTGCTAATATAAAAAAAACAGCTATTACTGGGGCATTTAAATATTTGGCTAGTTACGTCTTCTCTTCACGCAGTATTCTATTTTCCTCTTTAAGCCCCGCCACCTGTCAAATGAAATTACATGCTTTACATCTGAACATACAAGGTATCAATTGACTGTGTTTTCACCGAGTGATTGCTTCATGATTGACGCTCAGATAGATAATCCTTGCAAATACTTCATTTATTGATTTGCTAATATAAAAAACAGCTATTACTGGGGCATTTAAATATTTGGCTAGTTACAATGCTAACCATATTCTGCAGCAAAGTAGTGGTGATCAGTGGTGGCGATAAGACCCCGCGCCCCCCCCGCAAGTTTGTTTGTCGGGCACTCCTCCGAAAAAACTCTTTAAAAAACATTATCACATGTATTACTGCCTAAACTTGCACTTATGCTTGGCAAGATATCTCCCGAGGCACTGAGGCGTCATCATCGTCTTCCATGATCGCGGAAAAATCGTGAATACTTCCCGTAGTCATGGAAAAAACATTCATAGTCAACCGTGATTGCAACCAAACCTATGACATCATTTCATAGTGCTTTCAATGCTTAAACCGGTAAGTTACCGGTATTAAGAAGGTTAGCATACACATAAGATACAATCTAATGGACCAATTATTTAAAAAAATAAGTAATAATTTTTTTCATCGAATATTCTACACAATTTTTATTATTATGCTTGTATATAAATATACTACTGTAGTTGATTTGCCTGTGCTCCACAACAGGGCAAGGTTGCAGAAAATGAATAATGTGGCTGTCTTAGTCTACTGTAAAAACAGTTACGTCCCCAATTTACTATGGATGTAAAACTCAATTTACTACTAGTTTCATGGAATATATCTTTGGTTCATGTATTTTTAATCAGCCATGTTACAATATCAGAATTAAATAACTTCATTGAGATTTAGCCAATGAAAATCTATTAAACGACTGGAAAAATGCAAAAGAAAAAGTAAGCAATCAGCTTATAACACCAATAACGAATAATAACCAATAAATAACAATCAATGTAACACTATACACAACTGACACACCGTACTATATATCTACCCATACTATTATACAACAATCTAAAGAGGTCTGCTGTGATTATGCTACTCAATTCCGTAAAAACTAAAATGTAGTTACGATACCTCGGATCTGTTTAGGACTGTTGATGCTTTGGCTTTGCTTGCTTATTGTTATTGAAATATTTATTTATCTATCCATCCATCTAAAATACTAATGTTCGGGTAGACGCTATTATGTATGAAACGTTTAGGTCATATACGATGATAAAGTCGTGAAAAATAATAATTTATTAAAAAATATATAATGATTACATAAGTTTAGATAGATGAATATTATCACTTACACCTAAAAAGACGTCAAACAGCAAAACTAAAAATATACAACTATATACCGGAGTTTACATGAAAACAGGAAAAAATTACTGATAACGGTCTATATAAAGCTATTACCGTAGGTGGCACGGTAAGACCTGGAGCCGGGACCGATATGCTTTTTCATTTTGATGTCCCTAGAGGGCAAAGGTGTAAAGCGGAATAAACTTGAAAGAGTTCGCGAACCAGCATGATCGGACTATGGGAACAGGGTTTTTCGGGGGGTTGTATGGGGTAAAATTTTGTTTTCTCATTTTTGACCCTCTAAACACAAAATTTTCCAATTTCTCTTAGTCTTTGAAATTCGCTTAGTCCGCAGGTTTGCTGCGGCGGGGTATTTTAAGCTTAACCTGATTTACCTTTCATTTTTGGATAATTTTAGCTACTTTTGCAAATAGGTTGTTTGTTTTTCCCAACTTTATCTGTAGTTAAGAATAATTTCAACTTTGTTTTCGAGTACCTGAATTGCATTGTTCTGTTATTAAAAACTGAGGTTTACATTGTTATTTAAATTTTCTTATGTCAAGAATAACTGGGTTTCTATTTGGCCAAGTCCTAGGGTTGTGTTTTCTTTTGAACCGTAAATTTTGTGGTCACTGGAGCAGTTCAAATTTATACTTTAAACCAGATTAAATGACATACCAAATGGATAATTAATTTATTATAGTATCAAGACTAAAGCTAAACATCCTACAGAACAAGACTTTTTTACTTCAATATACGTTTTTACAATAAAAAAAATATTAAACTACTTCTAACCCAATTGGAAATTAAGGATATGATATTGAAAAGGTATTGTCTGTCTTCATTCTAATTAGGCCAGTCATATTAGGTAAAAATACCCCTCTACCTGGAAATAATTCCCTAAAAGGGGAAACTTTGCATATGTATAGTACTAGCACCCAGTAACAACATATCAAAAATCAACACTCGTGCATGCTGTGCTACGGCCGCCATCTTGGAAAATGGCGGCTGATTTTCACTTTTTTGACCATATTTCATTAACCGTTGGATGTACAAAAATATTGTTAATACAAAAGTTGAAGAGCTTTAAAAAATACATATTTTTACTATTTAAACTTTTGTCATATCTCTAACGGTTATCGAGAAAACTTAAATTAATAATAATAAAACTTGAATTTTGTTTGAATTTCTGCAGATCAAGTCGAAAATTCAATTTATCACGATCTTCAATCTCCAAGATTTGGCATTTTAGCATACTTGTGAATAAAATAAAATACATTTATTAGTTACAAATTATATTTGAACATAATTATTTACAAAGAAAAAAGTAAAACAGTTATTAACAGCTATTAATAACAGTTATTACATTTTGATTTATTCATCTTGTTCGACCATCTTGGATTCATCAATGTCCACCTCAGGCGAATTCTCGCATGACAATCCCTCACATTTACCACACATTGCTGAACAACGCAGACCTGCCCTTTTGCACTCGCAATATAGTACAGTGCAATTAGCTTAAAAAAGAGCAAACCGGGATATAAAAAAAAAATGTTTCAAACCAGTGCCAAATTGTTGAATACACTTCCCTCAATATGTAAAAAAAAGTTACAGTGATTTGAGTGTCGGGTTTGGGGGGGAGGGGGTGGAAATGGGACTTTTTTTACTTTTTCGCAAATACCTCAAAAACGGTGCGTTTTTCTTAAAATATAACCAATTACAAAAATAATCTACATTAAATTTATGATACCATACAATACCTATCTACTATGAACGGTTCAGGTAATATTGAGGGGTAAATATGATTTTTTTCTTAAAATTCTAAAAAAGTTGTTTTTTAAATGGAGGAAACCCATGGACACCCATAAAAAAGTTTCTAACAAGTGCCAAATTGTTCAAAAAACTTCCCTTAATATGTATAAAAAAGTTACACGGATTTGGGTGTCGGATTTGGGAAGGAGGGTTAAAAGAAAAGGGGGGAATGGGACTTTTTTAATTTTTTGCAAATACCTCAAAAACGGTGCGTTTTTCTCTAAATATAACAAATTACAAATATAATCTACATTAAATTTCAAACAAAATGATACCATACAATACCTATCTACTATGAACGGTTCAGGTAATATTGAGGGGTAAAAGTGATTTTTTTCTTAAAATTCTAAAAAAGTTGTTTTTTAAATGGAGGAAATCCATGGACACCCATAAAAAAAGTTTCTAATGAGTGCCAAATTGTTCAAAAACCTCCCTTAATATGTATAAAAAAGTTACACGGATTTGAGTGTCGGATTTGTGAAGGAGGGTTAAAAGAAAAGGGGGGGGGGGAATGGGACCTTTTTTGCTATTTTACAAATATCTCGAAAACGGTGCGTTTTTCTTAAAATATAATGAATTACAAAAATAATCTATATTAAATTTCAAACAAGATGATGCCATACAATACCTATCTACCATGAACGTGTTAGGAGATATTGAGGGGTAAATGTGATTTTTCTTTTTAATTCTAAAAAGTTGTTTTTTAAATGCAGGAAAACCATGGATACACATAAAAAAGTTTTTGTTCTTTGCGTTTTCTCTATTAACTTACTCGATTATGAGCTACAGGATGCGGAATGTACACAACAAGCCTTTTTTCCATAAATGTAACATGCTGTAACTCCTAAACGAGTAGCTTTTAAGAGAAAATGTCTAAATTAAAAATGTTTTTAAATTGGATTTATATTCTAAAACAATCATAAACTACAGGGTGTTCCATAAGAAACAACAAAGTTGTCGGCCATATTGGAAAATGGCGAACATATTTTTAAAATTGGGAACCATTCCAAATCATCTACAAAAGGTTGCTTCAGAAGGTCTTTTACAAGTTTATCCGAATACAAATGTGTATTTGTACTTGCAGCAATTTGTAACATAATATTTTTTAGTTCATCAAGAGTGTACTGGCACTCATCATTTTCATCTAGAACAGAAAAAAGCCTATCAAACACACTAGCACAAGATTCAATCTTGGGTCGACCTCTTTCGT